AGCTGATCAAGTTGCTTTCTTGGCAACAGTTATAATTTCAGTCACGATATCAGTAGCCCTTGAAGCACCTTTGTACATCTTGTGCTTCGCTATTGTTTGATGAGCTCGACGCTGAGCTTTTTAGTAGGTTCCTGTTGACTTTACTCTCTCAGAGCGAGGAATAGAAAATTTGGAAACATCGTTTCTATATTGTGTGACCCTTAAAAAATAAGCTCTTAAATTACTAACAGCTTGGTATAATGAAGTCATGACAGGTATGATTTTGCTCATTGAGAATATTCAAATAGAGGTTTTTATACAGTGGAACGGGACGCCCACGATTGCTTACAACTCATACCTGCTCTTTTGATTGGCTAACGTCACGCAAAGATTTGAATTTGCATCGAATTAAGCGACTCATTTTAGTTCGACTATCCTCTTGAATGATCGGAAGCTTACGCTAAAGCTTTACAAGCTCATGATCCTTTTCGATACAGTACATCATCCTTTATGTATCAAGTCACATGTTTCTCAAATCTCCAAAAAAGAAAAATATAAATACATGAGCAGACTTCTGTTTTTAAGACAACTATTTTTATGATTCGCAGTCTGCGTAAGGTTTGTTGCATGTGGTATATTTACTGTTGAATAACCTTATGTCCTCCTCACCTGTTAGCCGTACGGCGATTGCTGCTGAAGATACTGCCGAAGGCATTTGCAAACTATAAGGTTACACTACTGTAGTCGCAGGCCTATCAATCACTTGCCGATCACGAGCAGCTGGGTGATATACTGGACGACCCACGACGTCGTCGAACCAAGATTTAAATAGCTACTGCTGAAGTGTGGATACGATGACACCGAGCTGCTCGTTTTTCTATACTTGCATTATCGAACACAGCAGTTGAGAAGATTTCTTTTCAAGTTGAACAGTTCGAGTTGGCTTTTAAATTTGTAAGGCAAGAAATGTCGTTCCGAACGGCACAAACCTCAATAGAAGCTTTGTCTCTCCCAAAACTGCGGCACTCCAAAAAACTCAAAGTTACCGAATTGCATGATTATTACGCACTGCTTCACTCCACAATATCATGGAGACCGACACATATTTCTGGGCGTTTTCTGTTTTCTTTCACGGGTTGACTGATATTGAGGGAGCTTCATACAGTCATTGGTGTACTTTTGCGTGACAGGTCGAATGACCTGATTGGATGTTCAGCTGATAGAGCCGCGAATATGACTGGGCACGTATCCGGTGTTGTTCTGCACATTCAGTATTTTGTTACAGAACGAGGCTTCATCCGTGTTTGGTGCTCGCTGTATCAGATTGACATCGTTTACAAAAGACATTCAAAGCACTTGACAGCCAACGATTGAACAAATCTTTAGCAACATTAATCAAGCAATTGAAGAAACAAAAAATGAT